TAGAAAATAAGGGGGACAAAAGATAGAATCATATCTATAACCTTTACATGTAAGAAAGCCTCTCTGTAAAGGTGAAAGTATGAAAAACATTTTGGTTTCAGGGGCTAATTTTTTTTTTTTTTTTTTTTTTTAAAACCAATTCCCCCACCCCCCATTCATTTATTTCAAACACGGAACTAACGGAAATGTTAGGCACTACAATGAGTACTGGGAAGTACCAAAGAGAAATGGATCCAGATTTATACTACTGAAGGAAAAGGACATTTAAATAGATGCAGCACGAGGTATTAAGTGCTTCAGAGGGGTGGATATTTTACTCATCTTTGCAGCTTCAACTTTTATATGTCCAACATAAAGTTAACAGCTCAATATATTTCCGGAATATTTTCATTTCTTCTATCTTCAAATTCTCTTATGTTCAATATAGATGTATGGTTGACTATATCAGACTGATAAAGCAAATGATATTTGATTTTCCTTGAGCTTTATATGCTGTGTTATCAATTACCAGTCTTAAACATAAAAATCAACCATTAGCCTTATTTCATGCTTTCCAGGCAACAGGAAAAAAGTACATGGTGAACTTGTTGCTTGAGAAACAAGGGCATTCATTGATAATGAACACAGATATTATGTTAAACACATAAAATTCTTCATAATCTAGGAGCAAGCCTGCCCTCTAGTGCTAAAACTATCAAAATTGAATGAGAACAGCAATTTTCAACTGCCATGAAAATTAAAAAAAAAAGGAACTGGCAATATATTGTATTTTTGAAACTATTCATCCTAAGAATTAAGTAATAAAGTGGCATACCTGCTTCAATATGCGTATGTATTTGGTAACTTATTAATCTTAATTTTTAAAACCTCAGTGCTTCTATAACATTATATAAATGACTTACAGAGGTGCTAAGAAATGTTAACATTATATTTTACCTGAAAAAATCACAAAAGGAGCCCTAAAATATCACTTACTGTCTCCAATTTAGTTATATTCTGTGGCTACACTCTGCAATTTTATCCATGTCCTGATTTAAAATAGGTGTAAATACTGATGACTTATGCTTTATATCTAACCCCACCTCTGAACTCAAGTATCTGATTGCCTACTCCATGTTTTCCTCCATTTAATAGGTATCACGTCTACCACAACACTGTCCAAAACTAAACTATCTTCCTCCTGAGTCTTTTCCTTTTAGTAAGTGGCCACTTCACTTTTGGAGCTCAAGCCAAAATCCTTGATCATTCTTTTCTTATACCCACATTCAATTTACCTGCATATCCTATTTACATGTATTCAGAATCTGATGACTTATTTACATTGCCTCACTGTATTATTCTTCTAGTTCTTTTCACCCTGATCACTACTCTGAGCAGAATCCTGATGGATTCCTACCTCACTAAAAATCTACATCTTTAGAAAAACCATTATATTCTGTATGGTTACCTACAATCAAGCACTATCATTGCTCCTAATCTCTCTTAACCTTACTTTCTGATATTCTTCTTGCTTACTAGTCATATTGATCTTATTTCTTAAGATACCAACTACACTGTACCAGCTCATGGCTTTAGCATATACCATTTATTCCATTTGGAGTGCTCTTTACAGATATCTATATTGTCCACTTCCTCGGGTCTTTGCCCTTATCACTTAAGTGTTCAGTCAGTTTAAAACTTATTACTTATTAAAATGGAAATCCCATAAAACTGTTACCTACTGTATACCTTGATACATGTTAAGACTTACAACACTTGGTATAGTTGGGATTTGTTGAATTAATAATTTGGTAGACCAAATTCTTAGAGGAGGAATATGAATATATTTGATAATAAAACAGGGAATTCCAGCTATTTGTTCATACAATATGGTAAAATTTGTCAGGAAAAATTTTTGTTTGGTCCAAAAACCAAATTATAGTCACTTAACATTTACTAAATGCTATAAAAGAGACTACTACCAAGTAGCATTACTGTTGTTCTTTCACAGAAGCAGCTCAAGATGTGAGAGGTCAAGTGACTTGTCTAAAAGTGATATAACAGGGACGTGGCAGAGGAATCAAATTCAAGTGTTTGAATATAACTTCTCTATTAACTCAATATCTGAAGTAGTTCCAGAGAATACACAGCCCAAATAGGAGACTATTCTATATTTATAGCTAAAAATAACTATGAATTTGCTATAAGCCAATTAATTTGATATAGTTAAAATATACATTCAATAAAAAATTAATTTATATAATTCTGTATACATACAGAATGCAGAAGATTGTAAGGTGAACACAGCAATTCATGCTCAATTTTATTAAGATTGGTGAGAAAAGGTCAATTGTATTTTAAGAGATTAAAAGGTTTGCTCTAGGGAAGTAAAAGTTCACTAGACAAATTTCTACAATTAAATCCTAATGACAATTTACCTGGGTTTGGGGGCATCATTTTCATTTTTTCACAATCTATAAGTTTACCATTATAGCTAAGACTGCTTTTTGGGCTTCCATAGTATAATCATGGGTAATTAGGTCTATTAACAAAAATAATCTAGAGTAATTTATTACCAAATATTCATGGAATAAAGCTTTCACTAAAAAAAGATACAGATTAAATAACTTATTCTAGCTTTTCCTACTGCAGAAATTAGTGAAATTTTATTATTTATTCTGTGTTCCTGAAAATGCTTCCTTGTTTGAAATGTTTCCTTGTGATTTCTAGTGTCACTCAAGAAATGATACTTTCAGGGACCGGGGATTTAGTTCAGAGGCACTATGCCTGCCTTGCAAGCACAAAGTCCTGAGTTTAATCCCTGGTTCCAAATATAAAGATACTTTCTTAAGAAGGGAAATTCCTTAGGAATGTGAATTCAACAATAGATTGACTTTTTTTGCCAGTTCTCTTATTTTAATAAAGAAATAAAGTTTACATTAAATGTTGTCAACTTACGGGCTGCTTTAGACATTTAGGAAGCATGAGATAAGCTACAAAACTTAAGGCTTCACGAGCCTTAAAAGCCCAAAATAGTTTTTATCAATGATAAATTATCACAGCAGTATTAAATGCACTTCAAGAAAATAGTAAACCAAATCGAGTAAGCATCACTACTTGTTCCTCAAAAACTAAGCATGTAATAAATTTGAGTGAGTCTTTTCATAATTCCACAATAGCTATTATGCAGAAAAGACATGTTTTCTGAAGAAATAGTTCATTTGAAGTGAAATGTTTCACTGGCAATATATTTCATGTGACTTGAATCAGAGCAACTCAGCATACCATGTGTGCCTTAAAAACTCTAATTATTGCCAAATTCTACTCCTGCCCTTAGCCTTTGCCCCTGCGAATTGATTGCATTTAATATTGTTAAGATAAATTTTTGGTTTGCTATAAGAAAGGCATCTGCATCTAAGAGATATTCCTCAGGGTCAATCTAACATCTCCATGGGAGGCCTTTTTAAATTCCAGTCCAAGAAACAATCTACAGTATTTCAAGTAAAAACTAAATAAATAAAACCTGTATTTTACATATAAAAATACTACTTGTCAAAATGTATTACATCAAGAATTTTATGAGCAGCATTTATAAAACAAGAATTATTAGACAGTACGAAATGAATATGGCCACGGAGATTTAGATCAGCACATGATACATCATTTTTTAATCACACTATGTTACCTGAATCCTTGGCAGTTTTAGATTACTAAAAATTACAGTCCCCAAGGGATCATTGAGGTTTAATGGGAGAGACCTCAGTATTCACTTATGGTTGGAACCCAACACCTGGCTCTTTCTTCAGTAATATTGTACGAAATGAATATGGCCACGGAGATTTAGATCAGCACATGATACATCATTTTTTAATCACACTATGTTACCTGAATCCTTGGCAGTTTTAGATTACTAAAAATTACAGTCCCCAAGGGATCATTGAGGTTTAATGGGAGAGACCTCAGTATTCACTTATGGTTGGAACCCAACACCTGGCTCTTTCTTCAGTAATATTTTAACTATAAAGGAAGTAAATATGAAAGTTTTACAACAGGATTACTGGGAAGGCACTTTAGTCATAAAAGGAACCACAATTAGATTTCTTTTTTATATTTTGGGTTCTTTCATACTGTTGAAATACATCTTGATTACAAGATTTCCAAAAAATTAAATGCCATTCAAGAAAGAAGGAACACAGCCCATACTCTGGGGAATTAGCAAGATTAAATTTGCCTCCAAAAGAGATGAATGTTTCAACTTTAAGAAGGATAAAGCTTGGCATGATGTCATATGCCTATAATCCCAGCACTCTGAAAGGCTGAGGCAGGAAGATCCCAAGTTTGAGCTTAGCCTGGGAAACTTAAGTGAAGACACACACACAAAAAAAAAGGTAAAATATATTAAGAGAAATAGATGGAACCAAGGTAGAGTTAGGGCTGCTGATTTTTTTTTTTAATTGAATTTTCATTTTCAGACCCCCCAAAAAATCTTAAAAGTATACTTCGATAGGTAAGCAAAGTAAATATTTTCATATATTTTAATTTTTAAAAAAGCATCTATAAGTTTCAACTGTCTCTTATTTTACTCAAATAGTGAAGAGTAAAAAAGACATTACCATTAGGTGAGGCTATAAATTGACACCTTGTAAGATTTTACTTAAACTGTTTTAGAATTAAACAAAAATGGGCAATATTAAAGTTTAAAAGTTGTGCCTTACAGAAAAGTCAATTAAATTATAAATTCAAAGGTCTAAAAATTACGGTGTTATATTAAAACATTCATGAAATTAGGTCTTATCACTGTTTATATACTCAGTCCCAATAATTCGATTCTAATACAAGGAACATTTCAGCAAATTAATCTTTTATCTACAAGATGTTTAGGAAAATTGTTTCCCACTACACTTATTGGTATTTTAAAAAACTGTGTAAAATCTCATTAAGAAGACATATAAACTATTAGTCATTATTTCCTCTCTGTTAACCAAAAAGTAAATAATAAAAAGCTTGAAATTCCTGTATCTCTTAAGTAATCAATAATGAATATCATTCATTAAACATATTTATCATCAAAACCAATGTTTATCTTAAATCAACATTTTCTTATTATGGAAAAATACCCTATTTAGTTCTCTTCACTTATACAATGAAACTAGAAATATTGAGGTTGTGGCTGGATTGTGAAATTGAACATTTTCATATGGATGGTTTAAAAAGAGTATAAATTTTCTTTATATTGCTAACTAAAAGGCCCACTGCTAACTAAAAGGTACCTATTATGTGAATTATGAAAGGTCATCTCAAGATACTGTATTGATAATAGTCAGAAAGTTGTGATCAACAGCAAAACTACGACACCATCAATGTAAATGGCCTCAATGAACTTGCAGTTACAAAGTTCTCTCAAGATTTCATATCTTCTCGTATATGTATCTTGACTAAGTCCACAACAACAGAGCTATATTTTTCTTAAGGCAAACAGAACTGCTCTCAATAAAAGTCCCTACATTAACAACAATACAACCTCAATACTGGCCCTAATTCTCTCAGAAGACATTTAATTTTAAGACCATTAATTTATCAACATTTCTCTTCCAAATATAAAAGAAATTTTTAAAATGACAGAAATACATAAAACTTAAAATTCATGTTAAGAATATACATGCAATCCTCATTTATCCGTAATTAAAATACTAAAGGTTAGAAAACAAAAATAACTGGATATAAACTTTCCAATTCTAAACGTCAGATAAGATATGTGCGTAAGAGCTTGGCAGCTTTTACACAAACCCAGAATTGAAAGTTGGAGTACTTCTGAAATCTAGAAATGGTACTCTAACAGCTGCATCAGAAAAGCATTATCCCAGAAATCAATATGAATAATTATCCTTCCTAACTGTGCAAATATCAATAAAATGAGCCATATCAACATTGTCAAATATTAAAATCTTTAAAATTCCCCAAATTCATGGTGACCTAGAATTTCAAATTTTTAAGATTTCAAAATTACAAAAATAAATACCACTCTGACACTCAAGGGACATCTTCACTTTAAGGCCTTTGTCACAAATCTGAATCTTTATTGTTCTGAAATGTTAAAAACATAACTTCAAACAAAAATGTCAATATTCAGTCTCAGAAGATGTGTGGTTCAATGCCCATCACATGTAACAAGAAAACTTCCTTTAAAAAAAAGGAAAAAAAAAAGTACTATAAGTCTTTCATATGAATGAAAATGCACCCTTTGGATTTTTTTTCCCTTTAACTCATTAGCTTGTATAACATGGGAATCAAAAAGTTTGCATTTTCTTCAAAACAGTTCTTGCTATGATGTTTGACGTATTTTTTGCCACTCAACAAATTCATCAAGAAGAACCGGCCCTAGAAATAAAGAAACAAGTTCTGTTAGAATTCAATAAACTTATCTCTCCAACTATATAACAAGCTCTCCACAGACTCTGTGATGACAGAAACCTGACCTGTCCTTTCTTCAGGTGTTTTTCTTCCAGCCACTCTCTTCTACTTATCAGTGCTTTCTTAACCTTTTCTGTTTTGCCCTTAAAAACATAAGGAGCTTTGTGTAATTGTAGCAATTTTCTTCTCGAGGTATTTCATAAACCCTTCAACAACTAAGTCAAAATGAACCTCTCTCATAGCATTGTAGCATTTGATTATAAAACACTCTGAAAAGTGTATAAGGTAGTATTTCTGTTATCACATTCTGGTAATATGGGAGATTGGCCATATTAGACGCTAATCTTACTCTCAAAACAAGACATGGTACAAAGCAAATGCTTAATAAATATCTATTACTCTAAAAAAGATATTTTTATAATGGTCCAAACATTAACCTACAAAAGCCAGAAAGGCAATTTTAAGTGAATTCAGTATTTGGTTTTTTAATGTAGAAAAAATCAATACTACAAAGCAATTTTATTCTCCCATTTTTTTTTTCAAAATATATAACCTTAGGGTGGTCTCTTTTTTCCCTTGCTTTTGCTTTTAATAGACTTATTTTTCTACTGTAAGACACACAACCGAGCAAACATAATAAATGGCAAATGAAAAACCCTACCTCTGAATCCTATGAAGGAATACAGATGCAGTTGTCAGATTTTCTGAATTTCCATACAAACCCAGAAGTTTTACTTTTATACAAAATGTTTTAAATGTTGGCTTCACATACATGAATACAGATATCTGCAAAACCATATATAGCCCTTGGACTGCCAGTTTACTACTGTAGGTAATTATTTCATTAAAATAATATTAAATTTTATATCTGATAGAACACAATATATGAAGGAAGAAAGAGAATTCTAATTATCCTTTCCTCAGTATTTTATCTCTTCAGTGTGACAGAAATAAGTGCATAATTTCAGTTTACATTTATAAGAAAAGTACTTCATATAATCATTTTGAATGTTAAAACACTGAATGAAACAATAACGATAGTGGAAGCTGAAAACTTATAGTTCTAGAGAATTTAGCTTACCTAATTATTAATTATTTTAAAATTCTGTTTTATGGCATTCTAGCCACTCCAGTGAAGAGTGCTGCAATATTTTAACTTGAAGGATTAAAAAAGTACACTATTTCACTATCAATATACTCAAAATTAATTTATAATTTATGGATGGAAGTTGATATTATTTACCATATTGTCAAATAGCAATGTGAATGAGTACTAAATTAACATGAAAGTTATTTCTACTGTGTAACTGATTCTTTTTTTTTGCTTTCTTTTAAAATCATGACTACATTTTCTTATACAAGAAAAGTAAGGAAAAAAAGAATGAAAAAACTAGTCATTTATAGCTAAATGGATGCATATTGAAGCCATACTCTTAAATGAAATAAATAGGACACACACGTATAAATATGTAATAGTTTCTCTGTCATGAAAAACTAAAAGTGTAACTAAGGTTCAAATTGTGTAACTGATAATGTGAAATAGGAAGAAAAGGGCTACAGGAGTAGGGGAAGTGGGAAGTGTATGGGAAAGGAAAGAAGGGAAAATAAAAAATATGACAAAAGGAAAAAATGGAAACAAAGTCTATAAATAGGGAAGGGTGGATGGGATGAAGGAAGGGCAGGGGTATGGGGAAAAATAAGAACCAAGATACATCATGTAAGGGTACAAGATTCCAATGATGAATGTAACTGTACTATATACCTAAAAAGTACCAATAAACTTAATGAAAAAAGAAGGAAAGAAAAAAGCAGAATTTTAGTATCTAGATACTTATTTAAATATAGCAATGATGTCTGGTTACTTAGGAATGGAAAACATTTCATAACTAGCATAAATTTTATTATATTGTTGAATCTAACCTTTTTGTCTACTTTCCTCATTTCCTGTTAAATATTAAGTTACTGCTATGATGCTTAAAACCTTTACACTGGGCTGGAGATGTAGGTCAGTGGCCGAGCACTTGCCTGTCATGTTCCAGTCCCAGATTTAATCCCCAGTACTGCAGGAAACACACACACACACACACACACACACACACACACACACACACACACACACCCCTATGTTAACATGTTAACAGTACAAAACTGCATTTCATTTCCATGGGGATAATTATATTATACTTACAAGCACCATCTTCATCGTAGTTACTAAGATCTGCATGGACAGTTCTGCTGAATTCTAATACATTGTACCACTGATCTTTGTTCATAACACGGTACTTTGATTGCTGTGGAAAACAATATAAACATTTGTACCACAGAATAAAATTATTAGAGTCTGTATTTGGTTTTTCTGAATACATTTATTCTTCTGTTTTTTGTGATTTTTTTAAGAGAATCTTTAAGGGCATAGACAGATTAACATGTATTTTTGCATTTTTTTATTTTTTGAGGAATAACAATAAACCTAAAGGTGCTAATTTTAAGACTAACACTCACTAAATTTTTACATATGTATATAGTTGTGTAACTACCAATAAAATCAAGTTATAGAGTATGTTCCTACAGCAAGTTCCTACATTGCTTCCCAGCAAATAATTTCTTTTAATTAGCTGTTTTGAAGATTGTATATATGGAAGTAGTAAAAAGAATATAGGATTGAAAAGAATACAGGATTGAGTTCAAATCCCATTTCTGCCATTAGATGAGTGATCTTGAGAAACATAAGAATAGATCCCATTTCTTCAATTGCTAATTCTGAATAAAATTTAATTTAAAATGGTATCATAATAATTAAAAAACAGCATCAAATAGCCTGCACGTATACAAGTGTTTAAAAATAGCTGTTCTTCTCAACTCCCCAGAGCTAAGTATTCATTCTTCATTTGGCTTAAGTTTTAGTTGTGTATAAAACTCATTTCCTAACTGACTTTTATAAGTTTTAAATAAAGCTACTCTGAAGAACCTGTTACGACAAGCAAAAAGCTTATTGAGAAGTTACTTTCAGAGGAAAAAGCATGTTTATTCAAAACATATTGAGAACTGTACCAGGAAAACTAAAATTAAAAAGGCCCCAAAATATATATTATACAAGACAAAGAATTCAATAAAACATCTTAGGACCACTGCCTCTAGTAAGTACTATGATAAATCATCTAGAAATATATTTCATAAACTCAGCATACTTTGAGTAATCAGTATAATTAACCATATTGTAGCCATTCTCTTATTTGTAGACATAAAATATTAACGTTTACTGTATTTCTTTATATTGAGTCTAAGTAGAAAAAAGAAAAGTTTTACTATCATACTCTTAAGTATATTTCAGCCTTAGATCCAGAAGAGAGCAGATTTAGAACCTTAAGATTTGTGGACTTTCATCAATTCTTTCTTACCAAAAATGAGAGAAACTAATTTTCTATGAAGAATATCTTTAGTAAAACATATCTGATAGAGGTCCTTTCTGTCAGGGGAGAAGAGATGTGGAATAAAAATATCTCCTTTTCAATGTAGTGCTAGGGACTGAAAACATACATTCTACCCTTAAGCTACAATTCTAACCTTCAAGGAATTTACTATATGTAATGCATTAAATGACATGTATTCATGTCTAAAAGTGACAAAAGGTAGGTACATATTTTAACAGAACTTTTTCACTACTCAAGCGGACTACTTAAAAGCACAGTATTAAAAAGCTACTTGTTTCACAATTAAAAATGTATTTTTAAACCAGACTGAGTTTTCAAACACTATTAAAATAAACAAAATAAAAAAACATACCTCCAAGTACTGGTAAAATACTGAAAACAGTGGCCATGTCCTCCCAAGCAGAAGAGCTAACATAGATTTAGCAGTATCAATATCAAGGCTCCTCTGATCTTTATCCTAAAATATGAGTGAAATAATTTTCCTGAGTATGGTCAAGATATAAAACTATTAAAATGACTAAACACGGAAACTGCACCTACCCTTGCAAAATCAAAGGCATATCTGTATATATTCTTAAACGACGAAATATCATTCAGCTGTGAGCGCAAAAAGTCAAATTTGTTCTGTAACTTTTCTGTGCAGTCACACCTTAAAAAATTACACAATCAAGAAAATTAAATTACTTCAGGAGGTTAAAAGTTAAGCATTAAGAAAAAATGAAGAGTATGTATGAAGATAATTTAGCTCTAAAATTCTCTTACCAATTTAAAATAACAAATTTACTGCCTTATATTTACCAATTAAATAATAGAAGGAAAAAAGGAGTAAAAAAGATAATCTGGCAATCAATGAAAGTTTTCTGAAGACAGTTGTTTGAAAAGAAAAACTAATTTAAAAATTCTAATAAAATCACAAATATCTCTTAAAAAGAGATTATAAAATGAAAAAAGAAAAAGTACGTAAGTCTCTGCCATATATTTCTTTAGAAAGTTCTTAGGTAATGGCTTGGTGATGGAGATTAGCCATGAATAGTTTTAAAAGTTTAGTATGCAATACAGAGATAATTAATACATTAAGCGGCCCGGGCATAAATCCAAGTTCCCATATTTTAGTGAATAAAAAATTAATGTATCAATTGTGGAAGCACCTAATTCAAATAAAATATATATGCAAAAGCACACAAACAAGTCATACATGCTATTTTTAAAAACAATACAGTACATTAAACATAAAGAACTAAATAGATGGGATGCTCAAAAATCTTGCCAGGCTTTCTCTCACTGGGTTAAGTTCTACAATATAGAACAAGAAACGAGGGATAGAAAGATTTCAGTTTTGGTGCAAATTTTCAGTCTCATTTTGTCACTCTGAGTATCTTTACTATAGTTATATTTCAATTACCATTCCACACCACCACTACATGAAATGTGTTCTTTCCAACATTCTGAAAAATTACGACTCAATCTAACTCACGTTTTACCTCCTCTGAGACCACCCAACTACCCTAATCAGTTGTGCCATCTACTATGACCCACAGTATTTTACTCAATGCTGAATTTCAGTACTTACAATACAGATATCTGTCATTCTAAAGATTAGCTAAGATTTTCACTATCCTAAACCAGTGATGCCTTGGCCTATTTTACTAAGGTATTCACATTTTGGATACATTTCTAAAGTTAATTAAATCTTGCACGTTTAGAATATACCAATCCTTCTCTATCTGGTGGTATAGTGTTATGGTAAACAGTCGGGGCTTTAATCATTATCCATTGGTAACAAGGTCACCACACCATGTCAGTGGTGTCAGTGAAGGCTATGTGGAAAATAGGCACTCCTACCCCTTTTAGACGAGAAAGTTCTAAGTCGAGACCTACAGGGGACCCTTAACTCTTGCCTATACTACAGCAAGTAATGAGAAGTATCCCTCCTTGAATGTCAATGGAAACAAAGTAAGAAATTCAATTTCTACCTGCACCTGATAGTAATGAGGCCAGTCTCTACTTTTTTTGCCAGAGTATTATAAGAAGCCAGCCAAAACAGAAGGTTTACATAAGATCCAGAGTTTCATAACATATCCAAAATGTCCAGTTTTAAACAAAAGGAAAATGATATATCATAGAAATATTAATCAAAGGAAAACAGAAGTAGCTACATTAATGTCAGCTAATATAAACCTAGAACAAAGAAAATGACCAGAGAAGAGATAATTGTATAATGATAAAAGGGTAAATCTACCAGGAAGATATAGCAATACTAAATAATCATTAGCAATTAATATGTACCAAAGGGATGCAAAAGATATGAAACAAAAGCTCACAGATTGAAGAGGGAAAAAAATTACAATTTTAGTTGGAGATTTCAACACCTGTCCCAGAGATTGATAAAAAATTAATTATCAGCAAAAATAGAGCTAAACAATAGCATCAACCAAAAGATTCTAGTTGACATCAATAAAATAAATATTCTAGGGCCCAAAAAACATAACTAATATACACCATATCCTGAGCCAAGAAACAAACCTCAAAGAATAAAAGTAACTGCAATGATAGTGTGTCTGGCCACAACAGAATCAACCTAGAAATTAATAATAAAAAAATAACAGCAAATATTGGAATAACAGCAATATATTGGAAAATAAACAACAAACTCCTAAATAATCCCTGGGTACTTAAGTGTTAAGAGGAAACCAAAGAATGCACTAAACTGAAAATGAAAACATCATTATTATCAAAAATTTTAAGATGGAAATACAGAAGTACCAAGAGGTAAACTTATAACAACAAACTCAAATATGAGAAAGGAGAAAAAGTTTCAAATCAATTATCTAAATGCAAAAAGAGAAGAAAATAAATACAAAGCAGTAAGTAGAAAGTAAACAGGAGCAGAAAAATCAAAGAAATAGAAGACAGGAAAAAGAAAAAAGAGACAGAGAGCTGGTTCTTTGAAAAGATCAATAAAATTGGTAAGTCTCTAGTAAGATGGATGGGGAAACAAAAGTTACCAATACCAGAAATGAAATAGTAGCTATCATTATGGACTCAAATACATCAAAAAGACTGTAAGGTAACAAACTGTAACCCTACACATAAAAGTTTGATGACTTAGGTAAAACAGACCAATTCTTTGAAAAGCACAAATACTGTAACGCACACAATATACAGTAAATTGATGAGCCTTGTGACTACTAAAGAAATTGAATTCAAAATTTTAAAATTTCTAATAAGAAATCTTCAGGGTCAGATAGGTTCAATAAAGAATTTTGCCACACCTTTAAAAACCTACTCTAGCCTGATATAGTGGCTCACAGCAGCAATCCCAGCACTCAGGGAGGTGGAGGCGGGACAATAAAAGTTCCAGCCCAGCATGGGCAATATAGTGACTTACTCCCTGTCATAAAATAACATAAAAATAAACAAATAAATAAAATAAAAAATAATTTAAAAACATAAAATAAAGGGCTGGGAATGTAGCTGAATGCAAAGACCCTGGATGCAATTCCCAGCACCACAGGGGAAAAACCAAAACAAAGCAAAGCAAAAGAACCTATTGGATGCAATCTCTTTCAAAAAAAAAAATAACAGATCAGGAAAAACCAGCCAATTTAGTTTATAAAAAGCCAGTATTACCTTGATACAAACAAAACAAAACAAAACAAAACAAAAGTCATTCAATGAAGGCATGAAAATATTAGACATACATTCATGATAGAGCTCTCAGAAAAAAAGGAAAAATACTTGAGTTCAGTACCTTCAATAAAGAGCATCTACAAGCAATTTATTGCCAACATACTTAATTGGCAAAAGATTGAAATCTTTTCTAAGGTGAGTAGTAAGGAAAAGATATCTATTCTTACCACTCTTGCTCAACACAGTAATACAAGTTTTAGCAATAAAAGACATAAGTCAGGAGAATTACATTGTGCCTGTTTTCAGATTGTTTGCCTATATAGAAACCCTAAGAAATTAAAAAAAAAAAAATCAGAACTAGCATATAAGTTCAGTAAAGGCCATGGGAAACAAGATAAACTAAACATACAAAAATAAATTTTATTTCTGTATGTAATGAGCATGCACAAACTGAAATTAAAAATATTCACAATGGCTCAAAATAAAAGTGAAATGTATGCATACTAAAAACTAATGCAAGACTCAAAATGAAAGAAATCAAACAGCTGAAGACAGGGAGGGCTGGGTGCTTGGCTCAGTGGTAGGGAATTTGCCTAGTATGTAAGGCCTAAATCCCCAGCACCACACACAGAAATTTTAAAACAGAAATCTGTAGCTACCTCCACATACTGAAGAATCAAATAGTAGTTTTAATTCTCTCTTAATTCATCTATAGTTTAAAATTGCAGCAAGATATTTTTTGCAGATATAAAGAATATTCCAAATTTTATATGAAAAAGCAAAGGAACTAGAATAGCTGAAATAATTTTTTTTAAAAAGATGAATCAGTTCATCTAATTTCAAGGCTTACTAAATTGCAGTGATGGTGAACCTTTTAGAGTTTTCAATGATCACTGCTTTATAGTTACAGTAATTCAGACTACATGGTACTAGCACGTAATTAGGACACATCAATAGAAGAGACTGGAGAACCCAAAAATAAACCCACACAAATATGTCCATTTTTTTTTTTTTTTACAAAATGGCAAAGGCAATTCAATAGAAGGAAAATGCTTTTCAACAAATGGTACTAGAACAAGTAGGCAAAGACAAAGAAATAAAGACCCTATGACTCTTACCTTTTACAGAAACCACTTGAAAATGAACTACTACTGAGTTAAATATAAAAAATATAAATCTAGAAAAAAAATCAAGAGAAATTTCTTAGTATATACAAACTAGGCAAATCATTTTTGGACTTAACCCCAAAAGCACAATCTGTGAAAGAAAAAAGTAATAAAATGGAGTGTGAAAATCAAAAACTTTTGCTTAGCAAAAGATCTTGCTAACAGAAATAGAAGACAAGATACAGAATATATGCAAACCATATATCCAACAAAGGACTCAGTCATATGTACAATATACTGAGAATTCTCAAAACTCAATTGTACAAAAAAAAGAATTATCCTCAAGTCTAGTCTCTTCACTGTTTTCCTTTTGCTTCTCTGTACTAATTTCCTTAGATATTACAGCCATGGATTCTTTTTTCAACTCCATCTATCCACTTTCTCTCTCATTCACTAAGCTTTTTAGTATATGTGCTGCCAAATTGAGCACACATCCACTAAGCTTTTAACCTGTTATTATTTTCACTTTTAGAAATTATCTGAAATCTGATCAGCAGAGACCATTACACTTTTTTCTTTAAATATGTAGGTATTTTTTACTGAAATCATAGTATAGTAGCACAAACACTTATAGGTTCTGATTCTGAAGTCTGTTTCTTAAGATTCACTTTAGTGATTTTATTTTAATGATCATGGAATTTTTTCTGCAGAAATCAAATTTGTTTCAAATTCATTACTGTAGAATTGGTTTTGCCACAAACATGGGAAGAGGAGTCTTAATTACCCGAGACAATACTAAAATGCACTTTTTGGCTTGTGTCAAATAGCGAATGGGCGCACAATACACTTCATGCAGAAACAAACTTATTTTTGCTACGAGGAATTCCTTATTTACTATTTAAGTGGCTTCAAT